ACTTCTTATGTAAGTTGTAATGTTAATGATAGACATATGTGTCCCACATGCAGAATAAGTGTTAAACTGAAGAAACCATATTTAGGGGTATCAAGATCGATACATAATAAATAGTTTTCGTTCTTTCTTGACGATTTTCCAGTGCATGACCTGTTTCTTTGCATGCAAGGAAAGGTGTTTTTGTTTACGATGACAAGTAGAAAGAGAAAGCACCACTCACTTGTCTTCGATCGTGCGAGAATTTTGCGAGAATCGAGGGAGAGCCAGGGAGAGCTTAGCACGGAACCACCTCAGTTTTCACAGATAAATTCTATAGACAATCACTCTTTTTCTACTTTCTACGCAATGTAGATCAGAAATAATGTACATATATATACTTTATGATGTAAGGGTTGTCTCAAGGGTATAACAGACTGTTCATACAGGAAGTTGATCTTCCACTTCACATATTTTACGATTGTTTGAAATCGCCTAATTCTGCACTCGTGGTATTGTTCGGCCAGCAAATTCGAATATTTTGGCGAACCGTTATTTGTTTGCACAGTTTTCCACGTAAGTAAACGTTGTCCATGCGAGCACAAGCCTGCGCTCGATCTCTGTCCTATCGCGCCCCATGCTTGTATGGAGATTTGAAACGATCCACGGGAATCGTTGTGGCGCATTGTGTTTAGATTCAACGGTGATTTACGGCTACGGTGTTTCAACCCGTGTTTCGTTGCACGTACTTAGGTACGCGAGAGCGGTACATGTGCGAGCTCGCGTGTTTTATCGGTTTCTCGGACTTTTTCATGGTCTCCTATGCAGGTATCCCGTTTGAACGTTCGATGCTGGTCGTGAACGTCGGTTTCACACCACGCCGCACCGTTATCGACGAAATCGTTGACACCGTAACGTCGTTATTTTTCTGAATTCCTTCACAACAGAGACTAGGCATGCGAAACGTGAATGGTTTTCCCTATTGCACACGAAAAGTGCTGCAACATTTGTTGCGGGGAACAACCGCTACCGGTGGAATGGTCACCATTCTTATTGCCTCTTACTACGGTACATTGTAGTAAACGTTCAATTTCTTTTTCTTACTTTAAGATTCTGTTTAACTAACTAATTATTGTCTTTGAAGTTATATTAATATAAACTGTTTCAAATTGGTCCATATGTTCCTTATTTTGAATTACGAAATTTGTCAAAATGCTTATTTTAAATCAGTGTGTCAGTGTTAAACAATTCTCAAACCTAACTAAATATGTCCCTAGAAAAGTCAGTAACTCACTCAGAGATGCAAGTGTTCAATTGTAAACGTCAAATACCTAATTATTAACATTTTGTTCAAAAATTAATACCTCCAAACGGTTCAATGTAGAAAAATAAACCTGTGATTAACCTCTTCGTTAAATTTTAAGCTACAATCAACTTCCAGTATTAATTTAGCTTATAGTAATTTCGGAAATATTTGCATGGAAATGTGACAAATTAAACAATAAGCAATAATTTTCATTTTACGCAGTATGTCGGAAAAATAACGGAACTTTTTAAATTCTACTAGCGCTATTTATTAAAACAGTATGTCATCTGAGAACAGTGTACCTCCCCTACAAAACACTACAATCATTATTGGAATCGAGCAACGAATTGTAAGCTTATAGCGTTTAGTGCGACAGAACCTTTCGTCAGCGTGTCACTAAATCACGGGCAAGCGCAACAAATTGCTCGCGTTGAATATTCCGAGGATCTTATCAATACAGCCAGACGAAACTGTACATTCCTGGAATCAATTGTAACTAGTGATGAGACTTGGTGCTTCAAGTATGAACCTCGAACAAAGCGCCAAAGTGCTGCGTGAAAATCTCCAGGCTCTCCAAAATCAAAAAAATTACGATTCCAGAAGTTCCGAGAGAAGACAATGTTAATTTGCTTTTACGATTCTAAAGGAATTATGCTTCGGGAATTCGTTCCACAGGGACCAAATGTTAATGGCAAATATTATCTGGGTGTTATGGAACATTTGCGGAAGAGAATCGTTCGTGTGAGGCCCGAATATCGAGCACCGGGAAATTGGTTTCTGTTGTACGATAACGCACCATGTCACAGAACTGTCGCTGTTCGTGAATTTTTGCCGAAGAAACAAGTCTGCGTGCTCCAAAATCCTCCAAATTCGCCTGACTTATCTCCATGTGATTACTTCCTTTTTCCAAAATTAAAATTAGTAACGTTTTATGACACAGTCACACAAGTCTAGGGAGCTGTGACAAGGGTGTTTGAAGCGATTCCGCAAAACGACATGAAAAAATCCATGTTAACGTTGTGTGAGCGTGCCCAGCGATGATATTGATGAGGAGGGGATGTATTTTGAACAAAAAAAATTAATTTTGGCAAAATAACTAATTCTTTTCTTTTTATTTAAAAAGTTCCGTTATTTTTCTGACATACTGTGCATTTAGTAAATAATTTAAGAAGAACAAAGATTAATTAAACAAGAGAATCGAAATACGATACAATTAATACAGATTCTGAAAGCTTGTCCACAAAAGGGCTAATTTTGGTTCCGTAAAGGGGACAATTTTGTCCCTTTAATGGGGTCAATTTCGTTTTTCGACTCACCGCCATTATGACAGTCAGCCACGCGACACTATAGACACCATGGCAGGTTGTTCGGCTATATCGAGTTTCGTCCCATTACACCTCCCATGCATTTATTACGGGTTTCCTCTGTCTTTCTTCGGGGACAAGCAACGGGAGACCCTCTCGATCCCTTCTCACTCATCAACGTCTTGTATTCCAGTCATTCTACTCGCGTGCAATCAGAACTATGCGTGCGATGACGTCTTCATTCATAAAAGGGACCTGGATCCCAACACTTTTTACCTTACTTTTTTTTCCCTCTGCTGTTAATTGATCCAAAGTGGCTCTCTGAGCTTACAACACGCTCCCAAAGGGAATAAAAGGTCCACGACATCGATATTTAGGATTAAAGGTCCTTGATAAGATTGAGATATATAAAAGTGCTGATGACATCGCTATTAACACTTTGAGTCGAAAAAATAAATCATTAAATATTCTACAAATATTTGATACAAATTATTTCAACAGGAGGATAAATATAGCTTTTGCATTAATATCGGATATTTTTATATATAGATTTTAATATGTGCAATTTTTATTTTCAAAATGTGATTCTATGCAAAAATGGAAATTTGAGATGTTACTAAGAAACATGAAATATTACAGGAAGTAATAATATGTTATAATATGAAATAAAAAATATGAAATTGATACAGGAAGATATAGTAGTAGATATAGTAGACTCTCGTTATACTGCCAGAAACTAAGTTGTATACATTATTGACATATATGGCGTTTGATCGCGCAATGATGCTGCATATGGTATGATACAATGCATGATACAACGCATGGAGATTTTATGCGTGGCGATATAACGCGAGAAAGTAGAACCCGTGTTGATATACTGCACGAAGATAGAAACCGTAACAGTATAACTATTAGAAATAGAACACGTGGTAATATAACACAGGATGATACAGCGTATGACTATTTAATACATGGCGATATAACGCGAGAAAATAGAACCCGTGCTAATATACTGCACGAAGATAGAAACCGTAACAGTATAACTATTAGAAATAGAACACGTGGTAATATAACACAGGATGATACAGCGTATGACTATTTAATACATGGCGATATAACATATACTGCACGAAGATAGAAACATAGAACACGTGGTAATATAACACAGGATGATACAGCGTATGACTATTTAATACATGGCGATATAACGCGAGAAAATAGAACCCGTGCTAATATACTGCACGAAGATAGAAACCGTAACAGTATAACTATTAGAAATAGAACACGTGGTAATATAACACAGGATGATACAGCGTATGACTATTTAATACATGGCGATATAACGCGAGAAAATAGAACCCGTGCTAATATACTGCACGAAGATAGAAACCGTAACAGTATAACTATTAGAAATAGAACACGTGGTAATATAACACAGGATGATACAGCGTATGACTATTTAATACATGGCGATATAACGCGAGAAAATAGAACCCGTGCTAATATACTGCACGAAGATAGAAACCGTAACAGTATAACTATTAGAAATAGAACACGTGGTAATATAACACAGGATGATACAGCGTATGACTATTTAATACATGGCGATATAACGCGAGAAAATAGAACCCGTGCTAATATACTGCACGAAGATAGAAACCGTAACAGTATAACTATTAGAAATAGAACACGTGGTAATATAACACATGATGCTACAGCGTATCAGTATTTACTACGTGGCGATATAACGCGTGGCTATGCACCGCGTGGAGATGCAGAATTTACAGGAATCCAGAAAATTGGAATTTCTAATATTTAAAAATTTAAGAATATCAAAATTATAAATTTAAATTTGCGAATTTAAAAATGCACACGCGTAATTACATGTGTCCGTCGTTTCAAAAGAAGAAAACGTACATTTAAAAATTTTGTTGTTAAATTAAACTGTTACACGCGACGACAGTCTCTAGAATAGATTGTCAAGCCTTGAAGCAATCCATCATAAGCAATTGATGAACAAAATAAATTTCAATTGAATAACCTTGCCACGTAAGTTAGTTACTCGTAACATCTTGAATTCGTTGGTTTAACAGGGCACAACACACTTTCACGTGGTTCATACATCAAGCCTTTAAACGTTCTTAAACTGGGAGCAACATAACCTATTAAGAGGTTAACCTCGACTTGTACATATTTGCATGCAGTATAGTTCCCTTAATTAATCCTGAATTACGGCTTCTTGTCACGTACAATAGTTCTTGCAACGCGGGAAAACATTTAATCGTCGTAGTCATTGTAATTTCTTAGGTTATGGCAAATTGAAGATTACACGGTATCTGTTGTTCACGGTAAGCAATTATACTCGTATAATTAAGGATGTTAATAAAAAAAGGCAAAAAAAATATTTCTCATACGTCCATTAATCTGGAAATTCTTATCCATAGGGAACAGTGTCGTCTTCTTTGGTCTTTCTAGAAAGAAAAAAAAAGAAAATAAAAATGTACCTGGCGCTTCGAAATAATGTAACAATTTAATTAATAATAATTCTTAGATGGTCAGCTATTTTATTTTTTCTTAAGCTCTTAATTATTCTGTTCCAATTATTTTAAAAGATTCAAGGAAAATCAGGTTATACTTCATTCTTACTTCCCTTGATTTATGAAGGAAGTTTAGTCGTTTAACGAGGTTACAGTTTTTAATTAATGTAGCGATTAATTGCTTATAGAAAATTTTAATTAAGGATATGTCTTTCAAAAATTACTTTTTCCCTTAATTTATGTACAGTATCATGGTTGGGGAATAATTGAAAATTTGGAAACTTACAGCTTAGTAATTTTAAGAGTTTAGTGAAAATCTAAGAACATAATTTCAATGAGAGCTTAGTAAAATTCCCAGGAAAACCAAGTGAAATTTCAAGAACCTAATCAAATTCTAAGAAGAGCCCAGACAAAGCCTAATAAAATTCTAAAGAAAGAGAACTTGTAAGCTTGCTCCCAAATTCTAAAGAAATCTAGATAACCTAGACACAACCCCGGGAAAATCTGAAGATCATGAGATTCCTAGCGAACAAGAAAGTTCTAATCGTTGCTATTCTTTCCCGAGCGAATCTGCAAAAGTATCAGCATGTTGGTGAGCAGCGTCGCAGTGGCGACATCATCAGATAAGCGTCCCACAAGAAGGTAGAGAAGAAAAGTCGAAAGAAGCAACAGTGGTTGTCATTAACATTTCAAAAGGATTTTTCACCGGCATATTGGAAGAAGAAACTATACGAGGTATGGCAGTTGCTCGCGTGGTGGCGAGCTATCAATTTAATCGTTCCCCAATGAATGGACGGATCGGTTTTCTTAAAGTGCCGGTTTTCTCCGCGAGCTCAGGCATTTCTTGACCCCCCTTTAAGACGGTGTTATCCTCCTCGTGTGTATACGATTTGTCCAACGTTTCTTAGTGCCTCGTATATTCGTGCCGTGGCGCACCCTTAAATTATGCGCGCAATTACGCTTACCTGCATCTTCCGACGGCGCAACGCACACTAGAATGTGAACGAAACCGAAAGAAATCTGACGCGAGCGGAACAGAGACAGAGGGTATATCTTCGAGATTGCTTCTCTTCGCACTGTGCCCGGTGATTCTCCCGTTTTTTGCGAGGTGTTAATGACGAGCACAAGTGGATGGTATCGGCTGGCCGAGTGCTCTCGAGTTAGCAATATATGTACGGGGGCTGGACAAAATAAATGGAAACACTGTTTAAAAAACAGTGATATAAACAATTTCTCTTTAATCGTTTCTGTGCGTCGTAAGAAACGTTTCAGAAGACGGCGAACTATTTAAAATACACTGTATGTCAGAAAAATAACGGAACTTTTTAAATAAAAAGAAAAGAATTAGTTATTTTGCCTAAATTAATTTTGTTTATTCAAAATATATCCCTTCCGAATCAATACACCGCTGGGCACGCTCACACAACGTTAAGATAGATTTTTTCATGTCGTTTTGCGGAATCGCTTCAAACACCCTTGTCACAGCTCCTTGGACTTGTGTGACTGTGTCATAAAACGTTACTGATTTCAGCTTTGGAAAAAAGAAGTAATCACATGGAGATAAGTCAGGCGAATTTGGAGGATTTTGGAGCACGCAGACTTGTTTTTCCGCCAAAAATTCACGAACAGCGACAGTTCTGCGACATGGTGCGTTAACATGCAGCAGAAACCAACTTTCCGGTGCTCGATATTCGGGTCTCACACAAACGATCCTCTTCTACCAATGTTCCATAACACTCAGATAATATTTGCCATTAACATTTTGTCCTTGTGGAACGATTTCCCGAAGCATAATTCCTTTAGAATCGTAAAAACAAATTAACATTGTCTTCTCTCGGAACTTCTGGAATCGTAATTTTTTTGATTTTGGCGAGCCTGGAGATTTTCACGCAGCACTTTGGCGCTTTGTTCGAGGTTCATACTTGAAACACCAAGTCTCATCACTAGTTACAATTGATTCCAGGAATGTACAGTTTCGTCTGGCTGTTTTGATAAGATCCTCGGAATATTCAACACGAGCAATTTGTTGCGTTTGCCCTTGATTTTGTGACACGCTGACGAAAGGTTCTGTCGCACTAAACGCTATAAGTTTACAATTCGTTGCTCGATTCCAATAATGATTGCTGTGTTTTGTAGGGGAGGTGCACTGTTCTCAGATAACATACTGTTTTAATAGGTAGCGCTAGTAGTTTTCCTTGAATTTAAAAAGTTCCGTTACTTTCCCATTATACTGTGTAAAATGAAAATGATTGCTTATTGTTTAATTTGTCACATTTCCATGCAAATATTTCCGAAATTACTATTTGCTAAATTAATACTGGAAGTTGATTGTAGCTTAAAATTTAACGAAGAGGTTAATCACAGGATTATGTCTCTACGTTGAGCCATTTGGAGGTATTAATTTTTGAACAAAATGTTAATAATTAGGTTTTTGATGTTTACAATTGAACATTTGCATCTCTGAATGAGTTACTGATTTTTCTAGGGACATATTTGGTTAGGTTAGCTAGGTTCCTTAGCGTTTTATTTTGCTACATCGTCATTTTCCCTAAAAAAAACTAGGTAAAGTTGGTACCTTACTAGCATCTGTACCAAGAAGAAGAGTAACTTATTAATCTTGTCCTATGAATCTATAAACCTTCCTGTTTCCATTAAAAGTAGTTAGACTAATATTTCTATAACCCGTTGACGGTTATACAAACGTCGGGACTTTCCCTAGAGAACACTGTTATTCTCTACGTCTTCAGATAAAGAACTATTTCTTAAACCCCACGTGTGCGTAGCACATATAAATTTGAAGCTGTGCACAGTCGCACGCATAAATCGCGCGTAACCCTCGGGATACGCTTGCAGAGGCAGAGAACGTAGAGGTATGCAAGCAGTTGAAGAGAAACGAAGAAAGTCGGAAGAGAAGATGAAGATGGAGCAGAGAGAGGAGAGAGAGAGACGAGAATCCTGCGTGTTCAAACAAAGGTGAGTCTGCAAGTTGCACCTCGGCTGCAGGTACTCTGTACTCCGCTACCTTTCTCTTCTTTTTCTCGACCCCTTGCACGTCCTCTCTCTATGATTTTATCTTCCTTTTGCCAATGTTACACGCCGCGAAGGTTACATCCGGCCAAATATCTTGTTGCCAGGTGTACAAAGCGTTCCTTCGCTAGACTGTTCCTTCTTTTCCCCTGCGGGAATTGATATTTCGTATCGAAACTGTCAGGTGACGCCTGGTAATCGAAAAATGCTCCGCCATGTTGGTTTCGGGTAGCGCGAAAATTTGAATCCATTGCGCGAAGACAAATTTTCGTTAAAAGGTAAAGAGACAAATCTTGTCGTTGGTTTATGATTCAATTTAGTACTTATTTAAATTTCAAATATAAATATTTAATTTGTTGTAGTGTCAATTTTGTCATGAACAATAAATATTTTCAAACGTTAAATTCCTTTCAATTAGAGTTCCAAATTTCATCAAATTAACTTCAATTAAACTAAATAAAAATAAATTCAATGTTATAACAAATTAGTTATAAGATTTGACCTCAGACAAATTTAAAGTTCACCATAATTTTGAGTCACAGTCGATTTAGACCAAAATGGCGGAAAACTTTCCTCTCTCTCGAAGGATTACGAAGTTCGTAATTTATCCCTCTGGAAGTATGACACATCTTCCCAAACTTTCATTGCGCAAACGATCGTTGCGTTAGAAAAGAAATCAAGGTGAAAGGTTCGAATTTGAAACGAACCCGCGCCGTGTTTGTGAACGGTGATAGATCGAGTTACATTATAGTGATTAAAGAGAACGTTATCAAGCGTCAGCTACCTTTTGTATTAATCCTTGAAGTGCTCATTCCGGTCAATCCGTTCTGTAACTTTTCACTGTCGATTTTATCTATCATCCTCTCGGACGTAACGGCTTTATAACTAATAGTACCTGTCCGAAAGCTGAAAACTTCGAAGCTAGAAATACCGTTGTCGATTGGTATTTACATTACTCGGATGGAAGCTGAAGGCTGCTTCCTTTTTCTTTCGTTTCCCCTTAGAAATTTGCTGGGAGCTAGCAGCGAAGTGAAAGATACGTTCAAACGAGAAGTTAGATCGGACCGGGAGCCAAATTAAATTTTCTTGCCAATCCTGTTACTATAAAGGCGCAGGATGCCAAATTGCATCTTTGTAATGCTCCGCAGAGTGTGTGGAACACTCTTGTATCTATCTGTTATGTCTAACGGCGATGTTTCGAGGAAATAACGTGGGTTATCCGACATTTTTACGTTAACAAAAGTATATTCAGGTTTTAGTTGCAGATATTGGATGCTTTGTCTCGTTATCTTCAATTTATTGTATCTTTAGAGATATTCTTTGAGAGGTTATGAAACTGGACTTCTTATGCTCAAGTTTACCAAATATACCGTTGCAACATTTTAATTGTTATTTTTAAATGGTTGATTATCATTCTGTTAATTTGCCTGATAGATTAATAGGTAATTTGCAAGTCTGTTAACACTCGGGTGCCAACTACACAAGTAATTGGTACCAAAGTTATTCAGAAATAAAAAAATTGTTCGTTCAAAGTTGTTCGTTCAATTTTTCTACCTGTTAAACCAGTTATTCTCCAACATTTTCGTTTTATTTCAAGTTTGTATATAAAAATTATCCCGACATCGTGTACATTTTATTACTACGTCACGGATACCGGAGATGTAACTCAAGTTTGCCTAGAAATTACTCGACACTGACTTTAAGCTACTTATTCAAATTCTAATTGGCTTGGAAGTTTAGTTACCTTAGGCCCACGATTATGCTAAATCTTGTATTCCGAAAGCGTATTTTGTTTCGGAGCGCCTGTCAGGGCTGGATAATTGGTTCAATCTGATTAACCAAATCCTTTATGCTAGAACCCTCTCTCATACTGAACCGTTATTTTTGCATAATTTCTACAAACATTT